CTCATTGAGTACTATGGCTGAAAAGCCTGAGGTGCATTTGAGCTGAGGTCAGCAATGCGTGGACTACAGGCCAAGTCTGCTTTGCATGACCTAAGAACTAAGAATGGATTTTACGTTTTTAAATGGTTGAAAAATAATCAAAAGAAGGATAACATTTTGTGACAGGTGATAATTATATGAAATTCAAATCTCAGTGACCCTCAAGTCATTCATTTAAAGCACTGGGGCTGATTTCACACTAGCGTGGCAGAGACCATATGGCTCACAAGACCAAGCTATTTACTAGCAGAAAAGTCTGCCAACCCCTGATTTAAAGACTTGGCTAGGTCAAGGTCATACATAATAGCATCCGCAGCAGCTTGGGTCCCAGGGTATTCAAATGTGATTTTCATTAACAAGGTTACCTTTATAATCAAGTCTACAAAGAAACTGCCTGGAGTTTGGGCCTTAAAATTGTGTCTAGTAGGATTCATGGAAAGCAAAGCTGAGAATTTAGCAAAGGCTTCTTTTGTTTGGAGGAATTTGCCTCAGAAAATGAAAATACCAGGTTTTCTCAACCCAACTTCCAACGCCCTCTGAATTCAGAAAGTCACACAGCTCCAATGCCTATAGGGACCCCTGCCAACTTCAGGATTGTTTCTCACAGAAGCCCTTACACACATGGTAGCCCCACTAGAACTGCTGTCACCTGAGAGAAAGTCCCAGAAAGCAGCAGGTGTACTGAAATAGGCCTATTTCTGAGATGTCTTCATACTAAGGTTCTACTTGGCACTCCACTACCCACCCCCATCCTTTCTGAAGGCAATGGCTAAGAAAGAAACCCAAAAGGAACATGAGGTCTTGTTTGCATCAAAGTCAGACCAGTCTCATCTCTTTTCCTAGATGGGAAGCTGTGGAAGGCAGATGTGTGTACAGACCCCTCTGGGAAGAAATCTGTCAATAGGGCCTGAGTCAGGAGCAGAAACCAATGGAATGAGGGTCTCTCACAGCTCCCCTCACACAAAGCTCTGCAGATGTGATTATAAACCACTGACACTTCTTTATGGGAGCCTCCTTTTAAAAAATAGGAGATACATGTTATAAACAAGTAAATAGAACATGCATCTATGTTAATTCCTTGAATTAACTGAATTATCCTGGCAGCAGAAAACATGGAGATGGAGAGAAACCATCAGGAAGGAACATTATTCAACCCATCCAACCAAAAAGCACAAGACAGAATTTGAGGCCTGTGTTTGCTTTTCGGTATTAAAGCAGAGGAATCACTTCATGGAGCAAGAAGCTCTTTAGAAGCAGACTCAAGCTCCAGGTAAGAAATATTTGGAGCAGGCAATGCCCTGAAGACAGTGCAGCCTAGTCTTTTTCCCATCACAGGATAGCACACCAAGCTCAACAGACAAAATTGCTAGCAGATAGCCCGTGGGGACTGGAGCCAGCCAGTCAGTCCACTGTTGAGGCTCACGATTTCAGACAGGGCAGGTGGCTAAGGTTTAAGTTGTTAAATGCAACCTCAAGGCTTTTGCCCCAGACTCTGCAAAGGGCACCATTTTAGTGCCATGTACTCCACTCTTATTCGTTCTCAAGGTCATCATGGTAACTTCTTGGAAAAGCAAAACTATTTCAGCAGCTTTACCCTGAACCCACTAATCGAGGCTATTGTAAAAGAGTACTTTTTTTAGGACTGTCACCAAAAACATGGACATAGTGAACCACAGCAAACAAAGCTTCAGAGAGCAACTCCAAACAGTAAGCTACTCAAAAGCACCAAGGAAAAATGAATTTTGTGAGGGCAAAAGCAGGCAGTAAGGACAGGAGAACAAATGCAGTGGTTTCTGAATGGGGCCATTTAGCTGATTTATAAACAATCTCCCCAGTGGCCTTGGCTGTGGGAGATTGATGTCTCTTCCTTCTAAAGCTGGGGTCCACAGACTTGTTTTCTGGGGAACCAAGGGATCAACTCCAAGACAGACACAAATTCATTATTTTCAAACCTTAATTAACTGGAACCTAATTAGGACTTTTGAGGCTGTTTTTTCCCTCACTTTAAAGGAAAACTTTTTTTTTTCCCTTAAGTCGGCATGGTATAAATGGAGAAAAACTGAACAAAGAGCTACTTGGATGCCTTGCATATAAGCAACTCAGTTAACCTTTGGGGGCCTCAGCCTTCTAATTTATAAATTAAGAGGGCCAATGAGATATCAATATCTAAAGTCTTTTCAGCAATAAAATTCTGATTCTGACACACCCCCAACCCGTCATCCATCACTAATCTGTGTCTGATAACCACACCTCTCCTCATAGAAGCCAAGGTCACCTAGCACTCTTCATCAGTATGCAGAGTTCTACTGAACTTTTTCCATCAGCACGATGGAGTAATGTCTCTCAAATGTTAAACTCCCTCATTTACTGGGCATATACAGCAGTTGGTTAGTTATTCTAGAAGTCAGGTAAAGAAGGGAATATAAACGTACACGCCTTTGCCATTTTTGAAAAAATTAAGGCTTTTCTCTTAAAAAAAAAAAAAAGGAGTATGTGAATTAGGTTTCTTTTTCTCTTCTCTTTTCTTCTTTTTTTAGACAGGGTCTTGGTATATAGCCCACACTAGCCTTGAACTCACAACCTTCCTGACTTAGCCTCCCAAGTGCTCAGTGTTAAAGGTGTGAACTGCCATACCTGGCACAAACTAGGTTGCTACATAGTCTTCTGAATGCAGTGCAGTCAGTTCTTAGTATAACTTATACTTTAAAACACTTATAAAGCTTGAGGACAGAATGCCTCCTGAATTTTAGGATTTCCCCTGTTATTGTCTTACCCAAAGAACAGACTTTTGAGGACTTGTCCTTATCCAGGTCTTTCCAAGAACACTTAACTTGGCTTTTACAAAACAAAACAAACAAACCCAAAACAGCTTTCTTTTTTATGCTTGCATTTCATCAACTGATCTAATATTTAGTTAAAATGTATAACTACAGCAACATGTGCAACTGGCATACCCAGGTTTGGAAAAACACAATCCTGGTGGAAGTGGCTGGGGTGGGGGGGTGGGGGTGGGGGGGTGGGCAAGGGCAGGCAGCATGTGTGGCACACCATGGGCACTGAGCACTGCTTTATGCAGAAGGAAGGCTGAGCACTGGTCAATATGGCTGGAGGGCTCCAGGCAAAGAGTTGAAGAAGGCAATTAGAGAGACCAGACTGGGTCTGAGGAGGGAGGATAGGGCTAGAGACAGATCATGAGCATCATTTAGCAAGGACTTAAAACCAGGAGCCTAAAAGTACCCACTCAGGAAGGGAATGTAGATAGAGACGAAAGGAAGGCAGAACAGAGTTTAGGGAATGCCAAAGGAATGGACATTGCTGGAGATGTACAAAGAGACCCAGAGATCCAGGAGGTGGCTTCAAAGGGTCTAGGTTAGGACTGAAGTTCAGGAAGCAAGAACCGCAGTGTCCGTGGACTTGACAATGGGGTTGGAGGTGGCACAGGTGAGTGGGAATTACAGTGCATCTGTGATTTCCTTGCAGGAAGGAGTCTTTCTCCAATCTCCTGTTCTCCTCAGTATCTACTCCACCTATCATCTTCCATAGGCATTCTCACATAGACAGGCCTGACCAAGCTGCTGGTGCCCAGGCCAGGAGGGCAGGCAGGAGAGCTCCAGAAGTTTCCTTGCCTCAGTGAGCACAGGCAGGCCTGGTGATCCACGTCCTAGAGTGGCTCACTTCCTCCTATACCAGGCAGCACCAATTTGCCATGCCTGCTAATAAGCACTGTGTAAGTTTGTGGCAGAAGGTAGGATGAAATAAGAACTTCCACTGGAACACTTTAAAACAAGGTTTTCCAGATCTCATCCAGCTGAGAGGTTCAGGGAAAGAAGTCTCTGTGGCAAGCTATGCCAACAGTCTGATAAACAGCATCCTTGTCCAATCCCAGTAGCCTTGATGCTACCCACTTTGTTTTTCAGACACCTGGAGGCTTCCCACAGCACTCAATGACCAGGGAAGAAGAGTGTGGGGAAAGAAATACAACTGAGAAAGAAAAACAATCCCATGATATGAAACACAGGCTCTACTCAAACGTACTGACAAGCCCACGTTCTACAAGCTCCTCAGTTGTCTGTTTCTTCAGACCTTAATTTGGAATTTGTAAACAGGTAACTCTTTGTGGAAGATAAGGGATTAAAAAAAACTTTCTTTTGTTGAGCTTCAGAATCAGATACTGGCCAGATACCTCCTGAATTTCCAAGTTTCCTGCTCCTGCCTTCATAGAAGCCTGAGGTGCATTATGGTATGGTTTGGATCTGAAGTATCTTTCAAAAGGCTCATGTGTTAAAGACTTGGCTGCCAGCTGATGGGCTTTTAGAGTCTGTGGTTCTGAGTTAATCAGTGGATTAATCTCTTGATGTATTCAGAATATGATGGCATTGTTGGGAGGTGGGACCTAGTTGGAGGAAGTAGGTCACTGGGGGCACGCCCTAAAAGCTATACTTTGTACCTGTCTCTCTTCTTTCCCTCTCTCTCTCTCCCCTTCATCACCTTCCTGTCTGCCATGAGGTGAGCAGCTTTGCTTTGTCACATGCTTCCTGGCATGGTATTCTGAGTTTCAGAGGTTACAGCCATGGACTGTAACCTCTGAAACTGTGAACCAAAATAAACCCTTCCTCCCTTAAGTTGTTTTTCTTAGGTGTTTCTCAGAGTGAAGAAAAGTCTAACATAGTAAGGACACAATCCTGGACACAGACTTTCCAAGGAAGAGCAGCTGGGAGTTTTGGTTGCAGAGCCACTCACACAAATACCAACCTTTTGCTATAACTCATGTCACCAGGCCTCATGCCCATGGAGTCTGGCCAGTGGATGGGAGCTAGCACCTGCCCGCCTGTCCTGAGAGCACAGTGCAGTGGAATGGCTGCCGAAGGGAGCAGAGAGTTGCCTGCTGCTGCCTCTCACCCCACTGACTTCAGGCACAAGTCAAATGCAATGGTTGCACTGAGCAAAAAATATTTTCTGACCTGATCCAAACGGAGCGCGCCATCCACAAAGCGCTGCTGGCGAAGGTGCCTTGCAATTCGGTGCAGGTTCAGGACAGCCTGGTGAACTTCCTCGCTGCTGTGCTCTGGGGAGATGGGGGGCAGCTGCTTCTCAGGGATTGTCTCAGTTGGGCTTTCAATCATGCTCTGTGCGTGCTCATAGCTCAGTTTTGTACAGGAGCGGATGACAGTCCGGCCAAACCACTCCTCAAGGATCTGCAAAGACAGAGGGGTTGTGAGGGTTTGGGGAGGAATCTTTGTTCCAGGTTTTTCTTCCTTCAACCATACACCCACACACACATTCTCTCTCTCTCTCTCTCTCTCTCTCTCTCTCTCACACACACACACACACACACACACACACACACACACACACACACACTCAACAAAGATTTATGGAGCATGGCTTTATGCTTAGAATGGTACTACAAGGATGATCAGGCATGGCTGCTGCTACTCCCAGGCAAACTCCACCTCTACCAGTCCTGGATAGAATTCAGAAGGTTGCAGAGATCTATGAACATCCCTAAGCACACAGGCCAGGTCACACAGGAGAGACTTGAGGTGAAGGGCCTGTGGGAAGCTTTTTCATTAGTTTGGATGAGTGGTCATCAATGTTACAACTGGTGAAGAGAAAAAAGAACAGCTGCCAGAGATGGAACAGATGGGGCTCTGTGGGCTAAAGGGTTAGAAAATTCTGGAGAGAGCAAAGGGGGAAGGTAGAGCTCCGGACAGAAACAGAGAGCACAGGTGGAAGAAAGGCAAAGTCAATTCCAATGTGTTCTATAGAGACCAACAGAACAGGTTTCTCAATCTCAGTGCTGTTGGGCCAAATAAACCCTTGAGTTGGGGGCTGTCCTGTACATTATAAAATGTTCATTCAGTAGCATCTTGGCCAGTAGGATTTCCCTTCCCAGAGCTAACAATCCAAGTCTCCAGACACTGTCCAATGTTCCCTGATAGAAACAGTCCAGGTTCAGAGAGCTATATCCAAGTTTAGTGGTGGTACTTGCTGAACAGACGGATTACTGTTGAGGCATATTTTATTCTTTTAATTTTCTGTATGTTCTATTATAAGTCCTTATCACTTTTCAAGTGAAAATAAGACAAACATTAAAATATTTTGGGGACTCCTGACTCTGCTGTACTTGATGAGATCCTGATAAGGGTATAGACGGGGTATTTGGGGGTGTGGACATGGGGCCCCTGGCAGTGGCTAATCTGAATGAGGGAAGCTCGCATCACCCACATCAGGGCCCAAGGAAGGAGGAACGGGCTGGGGAGCACTCTCTCACACCTCCAATTAGGGAGCAAAGAGAAGCCAGAGAACAAAACAGAAGAAATATGAGGGCTCAGAGAAAGGAGAAAAGCCAGACATGTCTAACGTTAGGAAAAGCAGGAGAAAAGAGCTTTAAGAAAAGAGACACAGCTGGGCACAGTAGCTCAAGCCTGTAATTCCAGCTACTTGGGAGGCACAGATAGGAGGTTCAAGGCCAGTCCAGGTAAAAGTTAATAAGACCCTATCTCAAAAGAAGCAGGCCATGGTGGTTCACAACTGTAATCCTAGCTACTCAGGAGGCAGAGATAGGAGGATCTCAGTCCAAGGTCAGCCCTGGGCAAAAGTGCAAAACCCTCTCTGAAAAATAACTAAGCAAAAAGGATGGGGGTATGATTCAAGTGCTAGAGTGCTTGCCTAGCAAATGGGAGGCCTTGAGTTCAACCCTTAGAACTGCCACAGAGGGAAGGGGAGGGGAGGGGAGGGGAGGGAGGGGAGGGGAGGGGAGGGAGGGGAGGGAGGGGAGGGGAGGGGAGGGGAGGGAGGGGAGGGAGGGGAGGGGAGGGAAGGGAGGGAAGGAAGGGAAGGGAAGGGAAGGGAAGGGAAGGGAAGGGAGGAAGGAAGGAAAGAAGGAAGGAAGGAAGGGAGGAAGGGAGGAAGGAAGATACAAATAAGCAAGAAGAGAGACTTAAACAGCACTTACTATGAGATGGGCATTTGTTTCCCATTGCCTACACTCCACACAGCAACTACTTATTCTCACCACAGCTCTGTGATATATAGGACTTTTATGATCCTTCTTCATACAAGGATGCCAAAGCACAGAGAAACTGAGTAATTTGTCCAAGGCCATGCCAATAGAGACTGGTAAAGCTGGACCCAAAGCCAGGCTCTTAAGCTCTTAGTTCAATGCCACTTGGATATCAAGGGTGGAGACAAAGGAGTCCGTGTGTGTGTGTGTGTGTGTGTGTGATGGCCAGGAGTACAGGCAATGAGATCAGTGTGGATGACAATTTCCAAAAGGGTGGTAGGAAGGAAAGCTGAGTGCACAGGATAGAGTAAGTGTTGTGTTTGTAGGGTGAGGTGAAGCAGCCAGCCCAGAAGGAAGGTTGAAGACACGAGAGAACAAAGGAATCTGGGGTCAAAAGGAAGCCATGGGTGTCATCTGTCCAGGAGAGGCCTGGGGGAGGCAGGGAGGAAGGGGAAGGAAGCTTGAAAGGAAGAGGGAAATAGGGGCATTCACGTCAAGAGCCCCATGTGTGCAGGCAGAAGATGATGGGGGCAGGAAAGAGCTCCAGAGTCTGAGAAAAGCAAAAAAGCTCTGAGATAAATGGAATGGGAAACATGCTTCCTGAACAAGAAAAAGCAGTGGAGCTGAGTAAATGGTGGAAAGGCACAGGAGAGGGGAGCGAGCATTGGTCAGTAGTGCAATCTTCCAGCCTGGCTTGCAAACGAATCCCCTGCATTGCTTCTCATTGACCAAACCCACTCTGTCCACAGAGTGAGACAATGCCCCTGAAAATAGCACTTTTCCTATGGGGAAAGCCTAGCCCAGGAGCTGTCTACCCCACAAAATTTCCACAGAACATAGCTTCTACTCTGGAAGGCTACAGAGACCCTTTTGGCATGCTCCTCCCTCCCTTAAAGGAAGAATTGATACTCAGAAAACAGCGGCATGAGGCACAGGACAATAGTAGTAACCACAAATAGCTTTAGATAGAGTTTTTGAATCTGCAATTTCAGACCTGAATTTCTCTTTAAAAAATGTCCTGAAACTACATTTCCCAGATTATTCCAAGAACACTCCACTATCCAAAAATATAAGGGACTCAAATAATGTGTTTGAGTCTTATACGATGGCAAGCAGGTCCTGAGTTTGGTGTTCAGGAGGCCTGTGCTGCAGACCAGGGCAACTACAGAGCCAATTCCAGGGTCAGCCTGACTTGTCCTCGGAGCACACCCAGATTTCCTGAATAGAGTTGCTCCAACCTCCTCTAGAATGACAGGGCTGTGACCTCTTCATTCTTGTGGTCTCAAGTTTTCCCCTGGGGATTTAGTGTGTTTCCTTTTCTCCATTTCCTTCCAAACCCTGGCCCTCCTCCTCCCGTATGTCCACATGTTGCACAGCCTGTCTTCAGCCTGTTCAGGAATGGCAGCTTCCTCTCTGCCCTACACTTCTCCTTCTCACACTTGTCTGTAGGTTCATGGACCCACTTCCTACACCTCAGAGGATGCTCTAAAGCAGGTAACCACAGCACCCCAAAGGGGCACCTGTTGTCATACAAGCAGGGGACACAGAAATGCTTTAAAATCTAAGGAAGGTTCTGAGCCCTCCTCCTGAAATATTTATGAATAAAATTTTGTAGCAAACTGCAAGGTTCCAAGATACCATCGGCCCCCAAGCCGATGTGTCTATTGCTTCCTCAGAAAATTCTCTGTGCAGAACCCTGGCCGGGGGCCACGTGTAATCCCGAGGAGTTCGTAAGTGTATTGCCTTGCCTGTCCTTTGCCAGAGTCAGAGACCTACTACCTCTTACTCACACCCACAAGGCAGCACACTATTCAGTCACTGGAAGTACCTTTTTAAAATTAGTATGTATTAATTGTACAAAGGGGTTTCATTGAGATATGTCCATATATACATATAATGTACTTTGATCAAATTCACCTCCTTTATTACTCTTTCTTACTCCACTTTTTTTTTACAGTTTTAGTGGGGTCCATTGTTCTATTTTCATACATGCATATAAAATACTTCAATCATATTAAGCTCACCATCACCCTCTCCTCACCCACTATTCTTCCCATCAAATGGCCCTCCTTTGCATTTATGCTATTTTTAAGGTCAATCTGGACCTGTTTATGAGAGAAAACAAGCGTAATTGTCTTTCTGAGTTGTTTCCTTCACTTAGCATGATGCTCTCCAGTTCCATTCATTTTTCTCCAAATGACATAATTTCATTCTTTTTTATGGTGAATATACTCCGTTGCACACCCCCTACACACACATTTTCTGTATCTATTCATTGGTTAATGGGCACCTAGGATGATTCCATAGCTTAGCTACTGTGAACAGCGTTGCTCTAAACATAGATATTTCTAGTGCATGCTGACTTACATTCCTTCAAATATATGTCCAGGAATGGTATAGCAGGATCACAGGATAGTTCTATTTTTAGTTTATGAGGACCTTCCATACTAGTTTCCATAGTGTATAAGGATTCCTTCCCCAGCCCTCTTCCTTACCAGTATTTGTTATTTGGTTTCTTTATAATAGCCACTCCGACTGGGGTGAGATGGAATCTCAATGTCATTTTGATTTGAATTTCCTCTTGGACTAAGGATGTTGAACATTTCTTTATACATTTATTAGCCATTTGTACTCCTTCTTTTGAGAATCACCTGTTCATTTGCCCATTTATGATCAGATTATCTGTTCTTTTGGTGTTTTATTTTTTGAAATTTTTGTAAATTCTGGATATAAATTCCATGTCAGATGAATAGCTGGTAAATATTTTCCCCCATTCTGTAGGTTGTCTTTTCATTCTGATAATTGTTTCCTTTGACGTTCAGAAGCTTTTTAATTTGATGCAACTCTACTTGTCAATTTTTGCTCTTATTTCCTGAGCACTGGTGTCCTATTCAAAAAGTTGTTGTGTATGTCTATTTCTCAAGTGTTTTCTCTACGTTTTCCTAGAGCGGTTTCAAAGTTTCACGTCTTACATTAAGATCTTTGATCCATTTTGAATTGGTTTTTGTATAGGGAGAATCTTCCACATGTGGATGGGATATCCAGTTTTCCCAACATCATTTGTTGAAAAGGCTGTCTTTTCTCCAATGTATGTTTTTGACATCTTTGTCAAAAAGAAAAAATAAAAAGATGGCTGTAGCTGTTGGGCTTATTTCTGGATCTTCTATTCTGTTACACTGATCTACATGT